CTTTGGGACATCCTGTCTCCAAAACCACGACTCAATGGCACGTCCATTCTAAAATGCTATTTGTCATATGAAGGGTTCCCAGAAGAAAGTGTCTGCTGTTGCAGAGGAACAAATTGAAACATATGGAGCAGAGCAGAATTTTGCCTTCGATACTGATCCTAAGTGTGGTATCAACAATGCTTATTACCAAACCCATATATGGGAGAAGAAAACTAGGGATGCACTGATTTGTGAATTGTGGGCCAGTACCGATATTTGATATTTTTCATGTACATATCTGCCCTACCAATCTCAGTGCAGACACATTTCATAAATGTAAAGACAGGGACTACCTGGATTAGCATCACAAAGAAAAATAATATTTATTTCTATAAGGTTACAAATACAGTAAAAAGAATAAAACACAGACATTTTAGCAGTAGCCCAGCATCGCCTAAACATTCTGCTCTTCTGGAACATCATAAATATGTGACCAAATATTGCTTTGAAATATCAGGTGAATCTAAACATCTGTCCAATGCCAATGTATTTTTTAGGCAAAGATGTGCCGATGCTGACAAGATTCCGATATCATCGTGCACACCAACGTCCCCCCAAGCTCCCTCCCCCCAAAAACTTATCATCCCAACACTATATGATTACTGGATTAAACACAGATACTCATATTGTTCCAACTAATATATTTGATTTTAAAAATCTTTTTACATTAAATCTTCAAACCTTTAATATTGGCCCACTGATTAGTGTGCAAAATTTGACTCACTGATAGGCAAAATACAATTTCAATGTCGTTTTAAGTTATTTAAAAAATTTAACTATTTAGCGTCATGTATTAAAAAAATCACTGAACTGAAATATTAACCTGTTGTTTGCCAGCTACTATTAGCCACTTTGACAGGGAATGGTTATTCATTTATAGTTGTTGTACATCTTGCTATAGGACAATGGATGCATATACCAAAATACACATAATCATATCGTGTAAGACATGGTGGGACATGTTTCATGCTGTGAGGTTACTTAATGCTACCAGTGCTCCTGAATCTTCGCTGAAAACTTATCTGAAAACATACTTCAAGATCAACAGAAATGGCTGAAAGATTATTTTGCCATGACTGTCTAGTCCCTTGACTCAAAAAAAAACATTAATCTGATAAGGACTGTCCATAAATGCACTTATTTATTTATCTTTGGATAACTCCACCAAATTCCAAATAAATCCAGATGATGTTTTAGTGAATTAATGTTTTCCAGAGATCAACACTCCTTTTTATACGTCTATGTTAAGCTTCTTTTTTATGTAAATTATTTAATTAATAAATCAGTTATCACTTATATTAATCAGTTATTACTCCCAGTGAGAAAAAGATGGTACTATTCAAGACTGAGAAAAAAATTTATTTTTTTCAAAAGCAATGCTAATTTAGGTAAAACAACTTAATTTAAGCAATGTCAAAAAATTGCACTTGTTTTTGGTAAGCAGTACACTGTGAGGGAACATTATGAAAAAAAAACTATAAATATGATAATGTAGCAATTCTGTATGTGATATCAAAATGCAGTGGCTCAGAAAAGCTTTTTAAAATTTTAAATAGCTAAAAATGTTTTTAAAAAGATTTTTGTAAGTGATTTGATACCCACACCAGTGCAAAACAAGGCTTATGAAATGTTTCTTGGACAAAGCCATGTTATTGTTACAATATTTTATCTCTTAAATACAGAAACTTTATTTCTTATATTTTCCTTTTAGTGTACAGCAAATCAAAAAGGATAATTGTGCTCATCCTTTTGCTTTTTCTACTAGATGTGAGATGTCATAGATGATCCACTTTAAAATGCATTTGATACTGTACACACTGCCACCTTCTGTTTGATGGTGTTCAACACAATCAACAGATTAACTAAAAACTACAGTAACCAAACACTCATTGCCTTCTGATACAGACACTAGAAATAATAAATGCATTCGAAGTGCTTTTAATTGTTCTACAAAAGCACTTACTGTTTGGCAGATGAGGCAGGTCCATTTGCAGGATGCTGTAGTTCTTCTTCCCCTTCATCATCTGCATAACTCTGCTTTTTGGGCCGTTCATGCTTTTCTGATTTCTGTAAGACATAAAAGAACATTAAAGAATAAATCAAAGAACAAATGCCCCCAATATAAATGTGGTAAATGAAAAGTTACACGCACTAGATCTGATTTTGTCCATAAAAGCAGTTTAAAAAGGAATAAAATCGTAAAAAAAACATTAAACAAAACTATTTTGATGAGTCTACTGAAAGGAAACACTAACTAGATCAAATCATCACACATTACCAACCAATAACTGCTTCAGTTAATCAATCTTTCATTAAACTCAATCACATGCTGCTGACGGAGTTTAACAAACCCATGGAATGACTGAAGTGCAGCAAGAAGTCAGGCTAACCAAAACTGTTATTCCAATTATCAAGATATCACTTAATTTAATACAAGAAATTCTCAATGTTTTTTTTCGAGTCAAGGGACTAGACAGTCATGGCAAAATAATCTTTCAGCTATTTCTGTTGATCTTGAAGTATGTTTTCAGATAAGTTTTCAGCGAAGACTCAGGAGCACTGGTAGCATTAAGTAACCTCACAGCATGAAACATGTCCCACCATGTCTTACACGATATGATTATGTGTATTTTGGTACACATAATCTGAATCCCTTGTCCTATAGCAAGATGTACAACAACTATAAATGAATAACCATTCCCTGTCAAAGTGGCTAATAGTAGCTGGCAAACAACAGGTTAATATTTCAGTTCAGTGATTTTTTTAATACATGACACTAAATAGTTACATTTTTTTTTGATAACCTAAAACCATATTGAAATTGTATTCTGCCAATCAGTGAGTCAAATTTTGCACACTAATCAGGTGGGCCAATATTAAAGGTTTGAAGATTTAATGTAAAAAGATTGAATTTGAAAATTTTAATTTAATACAAGAAATCAGTCTTAATTTTTTTAAATTTACATTTGTTTGCATTTATTCTAATGTTATATAGAGATTTTTCAGTCAAAAACACACTTACTACTAAGATAGAGAAAACTTCTTACAGCTTATATTGTCAAACCTTCAAAGTACAAAGTAATTCTCCAAGAAAAAAAGCCCACGATTTTTTTTTCTTCTTGCCAATCAGTCAAACTTCAAATCAGTGCAAAATAAAACTGCCCACAACTATGCTAATTTGTCTTTGTGTAAGGTCCATTAGTCACTGTATCACCAAAAAAGTAAGGGTTTTATGTGTTACTATGTGTTAAAACATTTACTTTTTACTTTCATATAGTCGAGTGCATTCAAATACAGATACTTTTGGCCCCATTGTTCTACACGTGCGTGTGTGTGTGTATATGTGTGTGTGTACATATATATATATATATACACACACACACACACACGACCATCCAATTCTTTTGGTACACCTACCTTGCATCTACATTCTTTGTAATTTTTATCAGGTCTACTTCATATCGGTGCAGGTGTAGTCCATCTTTTTCTCTGCATCATTTGTTAGCCCCCTTTTACCCAGCTTGTCAATGGTCAGGACCCCCACAGAGCAAGTATTATTATTTGGTTGGTGGATCAGTCTCAGCACTACAGTTTTTAAATGCCTCAGTGTCAGTGCTGGACTGTGATTAGTCCACCAACCAAATGCCAACAGCCAGCAGTGTCCTATGACCACTGATAAAGGACTAGAGAATGGCCAACACAAACTTTGCAGCAACAGATGAACTATTATCTCTGATTTTACATCTACAAGGTGGACCAACAAGGAGGGTTTCTAATAGACAGTAAGTGGAGTGAAAAAATCCAGCAGCACTGCTGTGTCTGACCCACAACACACACTAACACCCCACAACCACGTGTTACTTAAGTGCTGAGAATAATTCACCACCCAAATAATCTCTGCTCTGTGGCGGTCTTGACCACTGAAGAGCAGGATATAATGGGTCGAATAAATGATGCCAAGAAACAGATGTAGATTACAGGTGTGGTTGTAGAACTACAAAGTGCAGCTATATAGTAAGTAGAGCTGACAAAATGGACAGAGAGTATAGATACAAGCAGATGTACTTAATATATGTATCGGTCTATACACCGATCAGGCATAAGATTATGACCACCTCCTTGTTTCTACGCTTATTGTCCGTTTTATCAGCTCCACTTACTATATAGGTGCACTTTGTAGTTCTACAATTACAGACTGTAACTGATCTGTTTCTCTGCATAGTTTGTTAGCCCCCTTTTACCCTGTCCTGACCACTGAAGAACAGCGTAAAAGGGGGCTAACAAAGTATGCAGAGAAACAGATGGACTACAGTCTGTAATTGTAGAACTACAAACTCCAAAACTATATAGTAAGTGGAGCTGATAAAACGGACAATGAGCATAGAAACAAGGTGGTCATAATGTTATGCCTGATCGGTGTATACATGTGTATGAATGTATACATGTATGTATGTATGTATGTCTATTGTGGCGTCCCCCACGGGCAGCGCTGCCGTGAGGAGCTTAGGGGTTGTGGCCGTGCAAATGATCTTGGGACGCATCATACTTGCTGTTGTTGCTGCTACATTAATTGTGTTTATTATAGTAACTGTGTGGTTGTGCTTTTAAGTGCAACTAGTGGTTAGAAATGTCTACTCTCCTCGTATGATGTAAGTTTTCCGCGTCTTCTACAGCATGTATTAGATGGAGCTTCATCACGCCAGAGAACGCCGTTTCACTGCTCTACATCTCAGTACTGGGGGACGTTGTACTCCTCTGGTCGACACTTGACATTCGTCATGATGACCTTACGCTCTTGTGCGGCTGCTATCATAACATAATTTACGCTCACAAGCAACAGAATTTCCGTCCTATAATAATCAAACGGCCGCAAGCAAAGTCCCAGCGGTTCGCACTGATGCAGACTAGTCGATTTCGGCAAGAATTGGCAAAATCCGATCCCACAAACTGCGCATGCGCTGCACGAATAGCGCAGGAGGCGTGGTGCTGCGTGCAAGCGTTCGTACGCATGTAGCGTAACGTACCCTCTACATTCCTCCCTTTATCCAGTCGACGGAGAAGTCTCACCGGGCTGAGCTGAAAAGCAGTTGCTAAGGTATCTTGACATTTATGACCTTTATCAGTTTTATAGTGCGATTAAAATCGTTGAACACTGATTTGGGTTTACTCTGCCTTTGCACTGCACAGCGTTTTATCAGTGAGCAGTAGGAGCACAGTCGTGAAGATGCTGATGGTAGTGATGATGGTGAGATATTGAGCGTGGTGCAGTGCAGCCAGAGAGCCCGAGTAGTTAGCTAACGCTAGCTACGCGACCACGGCCTAGTAGCTCGCCAGTCAAGCTCGCCGCTTGACTTTTGGCGATTTGACAGTGTTGTTTGGTCAGACAGATTAAAGCATCATTAAATCGATGTTGCGATCTTGCTGACCACTGAAAACCAAACCAGCAAGATCGATTTGGTGGTTTTCTTAGCTTGGTTGCACTTAGCCAGACAGCTAACAAAGCTCTGTAGCTTTGTGGCTAAAGGGGCAGGTAGTAACCGAACAATTGGATGCATGTTCGTGATCCTTGGCACGACTACGTTCGTCATTGCCTCTGACTACCTTACTCACGTTCATCTATGGGACTCATGGAGAAGTGGCAACTATATGAATAAAAATAACCACCTGAGAAGTTTAAAGAAAATGCTAACATGTATGGTTTTGTATAACGTTACTTAGGAAACTCATTCTCGTTGACATTGTAAATGCTGTAGTTCACGCTTCTATTGCATCAGCTGCTAGTTCACTCTATAAGTTGAACATGAACAGCAGGTTAAACGTGTAATATTTTTCTGGTCTTTAGAGCTAGGCTTGTCCGCTTCTTACACTCAGGCGACGTTTTCCCCTTGTTTCCTGTTCCTTTGCTCCACTGAGTAACCTTGACATTTGGATCCATCCTGAAACACGGCCCAAAAAGGCGTATCGCATAAATCTTGCATTTTCAGGTTAATAGTTGGTATATATTAAATGTAGATTTTCGCATTGCCATGGCTTAGCATATTTGGAGAATAAAAATATACATGCAGTAGCTTTTCTTATAAAATTAGATGTGAGTACGTAATATCAATGTAAAAAGATTCAAATTATAGAATCATTAGGCTAAATAATTTTGAAGAACCGTTTTAATTAAACTTCTTGCTACTAAATTAATTACAGTGGAGTTGAAGGGGAAAACCCACCGATTTTATCAAGCTTTTTGCATAATTACATCATTAAGATATAAACAAAGTATTTTCAGAGTGATTAGATGTGAAATACACACCCCTATAGAAGTGAAACGCATGTAAAGTGTATTGAACAATTTGCCTTAAAAAGCACATTGGCACTGGACAGATGTTTAGATTCACCTGATTGCCAAAAATGGGCAACGGGTAAACTTGGCATCAGAATTGTTCACTGCATTGTGATAGAAACTAGCTGTCTAAATGCTTCTAAAAGCTATTGGACCGAATAGTACTACTTGAAATGGCTACAAGTACACTGTACAAATACATGATTTGAGTCATAGTTGTACAATAGTTTTGATAAGCTTTTGGCCTAAAACATATATACTTTAAAAATCCATTAGTGGCAGACAGGTACATGCAGTGCAATGTTTTATATGCTTAACTTATATAGCTTGAATATTTGAAATGGAAGTGGCTTAGCATGTGCTTAGCAACTAGTGCTATAAATGAAAGAGAAGTGATTAGCTAATATTGGATGCACTATAGGAGGTCGAACTTGTCAGGCTAGATCAAGGGTGTGACATTGGTGCATGCTGTTCCATGGGAAGTGTTAAACTTTGTCCTACCAGTTACACGTCCTTTATCCCCACAGGGGAGCTAAGCTCTTTCCTGTTCTGAGTTGTAGTAATTCAGTAACTTCAGGCTCTTACTGTCAGGATCAACTTTTAAAGCCTGTTTCCTGATAAGAAGCGACTGCATTGTGTTTTCTGCTGAGAATGAGTTGTTCAGTGAAAATAGCTAATAGGTAAATGGGATAAAAGGTGACTTTTGCATCAGCATACCGTGTTTTTCCGGTAACTCTTTCCTAAAAGTTGAACAGGACAGAATTAATTATTTTAAAAAATTTCCATTCCTCTGATGCACCCGGTGACCACAGCTTGTCCTCTTAATCCGGTAGTTATTGTAAGAGCACACATTCCACAGCACTGCTCTGTGGCTGGGTTCCTGTTTAGCATCAGGATGTAGCTCTGTGAAATGTAATGATGTATTTTTTGCTGTGTTTTGCAGATAATGGCTGTTCCCCCAACATACGTTGACTTGGGAAAGTCTGCCAAGGATGTCTTCACCAAGGGATATGGTAGGAGTTGATTTCAGCTCATTTGCTTAGTTGGGGGCTTCTAGAACATCGGTTGTCAAGTGGAAATGGATGTGATATGAAATGCATACAGCATGGGAACCTGGTGGACTACATTTTGTTGACACAAAGTAAAAACATCCATGTTTCAGGAAAGGTACCACAATCATTGAAATTGACTACAATCTGGGGTTAGGTGCTTGACATCTCATTACTAAATATTTTGAATGGAACAAAAACTAATCTGGAAGTCGACAGTAGGCATGTTATGAATGATCAGGACTAGTGTGCTCCTCCTGTAATTGACAGTATCAGTATCACAATCTCTTAACCTCTATGCAAAGATGTCACACTGCATGATGAAACTGGTGGTCACACCAGATGTTGATTAGAGCCTTAATTCATTTTGTATAAAAAGCATCATTACTTATCTTCAGTCCATTAATCAGGGGCCAATTTATTTCAGCTGGCTAATTTCCTTTAATTAAAAAAATGTTAATTTATGTTTTTGTTCAATGAAATTTAAAGCTGTATGGATTGTAATCTTAAAGATAAACATTTGCAGCCAAATTACAATAGGTTGTAACTGTTGTGTGAAACTAATTTATTGTTTTGATCTTATCAAGGCTTTGGTCTTATCAAGTTGGACTTGAAAACAAAGTCAGAAAATGGACTGGTAAGTAATCAACTGTTTATTGTACAAAGCACTACTATGACTTAACTATTTTGTAATCAGCTTGATGTAATCTGCTGTATTTGTCATAAGTTTTAGAATGTATAGGAAAATTGTTTTAAAGAAATGTTACATTTCTGGTTAGCTACAGATGCTGGTTAGCTAGTGCTAGCTCAAATCTGCACAGAAATAGGAACTAACAGGACAGTAAAAATTTCATATTGTCAAGGTTCCTGTATATCCTGTGTAAGTGTTATAAAGTCCTAAAACATATTTTTAAATTTTAAGCTCACATGATGTTGGAAAATGTCTTTTTTTTCTAGCGGAGGTACTAAATTCTAAGATAATGCCTAAAGGTTGAAAACAGTCATTGTGTATATTAAACGAATTCCAAATAGTTCATCCAAATATATCCCACCAACAGTGGTCCTGTGATCAGAAACTGACCACTGGTGAATGGCTACATGGCAACAGAACTCATTTTTGAGGCATTAAAAAGCACTGGCTTTGATTTAAAAAAAAAAAAGAAAAAGTGCAGCAACCTTGATGCTGCTTTCTGGAGCTAAATGGCATTAATGCTACTGGAAAGCTGTTTAATTCATAATATACAAAAAGTAAATTATTTTGGCATGCATTTAGTTAATTCCAAAACTCTGTAATTATTTTTAAATGAAGGTAGCATCAAAAGAATATTTCTGTTATAAAGACCCCTCATCAAGAAGTGAGTGCTTTGCATGTAAGTGCTGTATCATTGAATTGTGCAGTCACTGCACTTGTAAATAATCCATCATAGTAATCAGTTAAACTGTTTAAACAATAAGGTAGGTAATTTGCAACATAAATCATTAACTAACAGACTCACAAAAATGTATAATGATGGATCTGCTATTACCACAGTGAAGGTAATGGTAAAATTTAGGAAACCATTGTAAAACCTTTATATGTATTACATAGACTGTTAATTCTTGTTGCTTGTACTGTAACTTAGTTGCTTCACCAAAAATGTGTAGTAGTGTGTCAATATTTAGAATATACATGAAACACACTCTCAGCTGGTCAGGATGACCTAAATGGATGTTTGTAGTACTGAACAAAAATGCAGTTGTGATTTATTTCAGGCTAAAAATAGGGGCTACTGCTAGTGAAGGGTCTCTATCACTCAACTAACAAATCTGAAGTGCTGCCCTTAATATGACTGTCATTGAGAGCAGCTGTTGGTGATGTGGATCATGTAGTCTAAGCATTGAAGAGTTACCTGACAAAGGAACAGGATAAAGTTTTACCATTTTAAGTCTATTGCAATTATAGGTTGTTAATCCTTTCAGTAGCATATTCTTGGTGCTGTGAACATATGCTTTTGTCTGAATTCCCTGACCATAGGAATTCAAAAGTACAGGCTCTGCCAACACAGAGACCAGCAAGGTGTCAGGAGCATTGGAGACCAAGTACAAATGGGCTGAACATGGACTGACCTTCACTGAGAAGTGGAACACTGACAACACTCTGGGCACAGAAATTACCCTGGAGGACCAGGTGAGAGGACCCTGTCTTTCTCTAACTAAAGTGAACAAACTGTTCATGATACATTAAAAAAATGTACATAGATTTACGCTTCCCTTAAATGTAGTCAGTAACTACATCATTAATCAGTAAAACATGTGTTTGATCTCCAGAGTTTGCTTCTTTAGTTTTTGCACTGGAGCTGTGAGGGTAATGTTGATAACAGATAACCTCAGTTATTAGTTTTGTGCAAAATCATGCCTAATTCATCAAACACTTTCTCTTTTAAAATTCTCCAATAGCTAAACAGTACGCATGGCCAACGTGAAGCCTGAATTTTGTTCATGCTTTTATCCAGTTGTTGGAGTAAAGCCTTCCATTACTTTTTAGCTACATTCACATCAACGAGTAAAGAAATTAGAGAAACAGAATTCAGACACCTTGCATCTTGGTTAATTGGTTTCTTGACATATCTTGGCAGATCAACTACATTTGGTGAGGGTTATTACATGACAGCTCTGTTATGTTTATCTGATCACTATGTAACACATTGGGATAAAATTGCAAATATGGCTATATTTTTATGGTGAAGTATTCCTTTGAGATCCGTAGACCAACTCCTGATCAATCAAGAACTGATACTCTTGTTTTAATCATGGACTGTGGTTTGTTCCCTCTACTGTCTTTAGCTGGCCAAAGGACTCAAGCTGACATTTGATTCCTCCTTTTCTCCGAACACAGGGTATGTGTTTGTTTTGTTTTTTTTTGTGCTTCATAAGAGTATCATAAAACGAACTACCTATATGGAAATACAGTATATATGTTTCAAGCGACTGGACAAATAAATGCACAAGGTAAAAACAAACAGGCTAACAGATTATTTTACAAAAAACTTAAATTGTTCTTTGAGAAGTAAACACTTTAAAAATGATAATTTCAGCATGTATCTTGGAAAGGTTTCCCAGAAGAGTAGCCTACATAGGCGCCTGTATAGTGGTCACAGTGAATAAGTTTAAGTCTTTATAAACTTACTCACCAGCGATGTCACTTTAGCTGCAGCATCTAAGCTATCTAAGCTAAGCTATCTAAGCTAAGCTATCACTCAGAATGTTTTAAAAACCTTCCCAAACTGACCAAGTGGCAGGTGAAACTTAAAAATGAGTCAGTCCAATGCTGGCATGTGCAAGTCTATAAGGGAGCTACAGTTTATTCCTATTTGGGATTAATTTGACTGGCTCAGCTACAATGAAGAATAAGGTGTTTTGCTGTGCACGCCCCAATTTGGCAGAGAAGTAAAACACAACATAAAACAGCATGGCTCATTCAAACGATATAAGTGTGCTTTTTTGATGTGGTTAATTATATATTAAAATTAAGAAGTAGAATGCTAGCTAGTTAGTGTCTAACTGAATGACTTTTATTGAACATTAGCATACCACCTGGCCTGTAGTTGCAGCCGATTTACCTCAGAAAGGAGTGAGTCAAGCCAAGAAATTATCAGACTCACATACATCACTGTATGAACTGTTAATTGCACTAACATGAAAATAAATTCAAAGATATTTCAAAAAATGTATCTTTAATATAGGTTTGTCTCACAATAAGCCCCCCCCGCACCCCCAAAGGGACCGTCACAGTTTGGTAGTACTGTTGGACTCCACTGTTCACCATAACAGTTTCTTGATTTCTCCACATAGGAAGAAGAGTGGCAAGATCAAGACTGGCTACAAGCGGGAGCACATCAATCTCGGCTGTGATGTACATTATGATATCAATGGCACTGCTGTGCATGGTGCTGTAGTGGTGGGCTATGAGGGCTGGCTTGCTGGCTACCAGATGACGTTTGAGGCAGGAAAGAACAGAGTCACCCAGAGCAACTTTGCCGTAGGATATAAGACTGATGAATTTCAGCTCCACACAAATGTGTAAGCTACCTTAACTTTTTTCTTTTCTCAGCCCTTATGACAGACATGTGCCAGTTGCTCTCGAAGGCTCCCCAAAGCCTCAGAACCAGTCATTGGTCAGCAGAAACGAGAATGCTAATGACTCAATTCAGTGATCTAGAAGAATGGCAAAACTAACATCACAATACTTGAAGACATTTGCAAGATTTACAACCAAACTGTAACATAAAAAGCAAAAAAAAGAAACAGCAAAAGAAATTTCAAAAATAAAATCATAAAAAAGGAAAAACAGAAAGAATAATTAAATCAATTCATAAAATACTGCCATAATAGACTGACAGCCAATCATCTACTTGTTACTATGCTGTTTATGCAGTTACTGTACGCTAGTTGTGGTTTACAGGCTCTGAATATCTTTTTTTTTGGGGGGGGGGATATATGCATTTGTTTGGTGTTTTTATAAGTACTGACAATACCCATGATATACTCAGAAAAGTGTATTGTGACACACACTTTTGAGTATATCACAGTAACATATTGTCATGTTGCCCACCCATGCCTAGCATATGCACTTGATTATTTATCATTAACTCTATAAACAGAGGGTGAGGTAAGCCCTTCATTAGGCCAAACAGCAGAGCCTATTGTATTCTCAGGGGTGGAATCAGCAATAGAGTGCAACCTTCTTAGTCAGTGACATCACTTGGGAGCATTCAGTTAATGTTTCTGAGAATGGTAGCTGTCCCAACCCTCTAACACAAAGAAACAAAATATTCTCCTTATAAGCACACCAGTGCACTGTTTGCATGATGAGCTAAGTGTTGTCTAGTATAGTTAATAAATTAACATGATTTGCACTGTATGAATTGGTTTGCCACAAGCAAGACTGAACGTAGCATTGTCCTGCTTATCTGCTCTTCGTTGCACCTTACAATGTGTGGCCTGCTAGGTCTGAATGGCAGGTTATTTTTATCCACTTTTATTCCCAGTAAGTTGAATTGGATTTGTCCGGGGCTTTGTGGCCAGTCTAGAGAGCATTAATGTTATTTGTCTCTTGCTGAGACACACAGCACTTGTATTTATTGGAGAGAGCTGGGAAGGTTGCAGTTTTTAAAATGGTGGAATGAGATTAAGTTTGTGTTTAATGCATAAATACATTTTAAATTGATTATTTTGTGGTAAGGTTTATGTTAAAGTTTACGGAAGTAGGTAATTACAGACACTTATAGAGTGTTCTTATTTTTGTTTAAAAAACAGGAATGATGGGACTGAATTTGGTGGATCCATCTACCAGAAGGTGAATGATAAACTGGAGACAGCAGTCAATCTGGCCTGGACTGCTGGCAACAGCAACACCCGCTTTGGCATTGCTGCCAAGTATCAGATTGATGCAGACGCCTCGTTTTCGGTATGTTGTGTCTGTGATGTCATTAAGCCCTCTCATTGGCTGTGCAGTGACCTTCCCACTGTCTGGCCTTTTAATGTGGCTCAGATTAACGTCCTTCTTGAAGAGTACTCTTTATCCCACACAATGTTGTGCTTAGTTTGTTTGCAACTAAATAAAAAAATATTTTAAATATGTTTTATAGGCCAAAGTGAACAACTCTAGCCTTGTTGGCCTGGGATACACTCAGACCCTGAAGCCAGGTAGGTATAAAAAAGACTTTAATGCACTAAACTTATGCAGCTAATAACTTTATAGTCATGAGTGTCAGCCTCATGAAAAGAAAGTTGCACACATATTTTGCCTTGTGGGAGAAGGTGTGGCCTGCATGCCAAAGTTAGCCCAAGATCTCCCTCACGCAGTAAGAAGAAAAATATTTTTTTAGTGTAATTTTTTACATTTTTATTTTTCTTTTAAAATAGTATTTTCATAGTACCAAAGTAACAAAATGCAATATACTGATAAAAGTAATATTAAAAAAAATAAATATGACTACATTCTTAATTTGTATATTGATTTGTCTTTTTGGCTAATGACCCACCACAAGCATTGTACTTCGGCCCCCCGAGATAATCAGTTAAGGCAACCCTTGTCTATAAGATTGACAGATTTAGATTTAGTCTTTGCATTTTATTTAATCTGCATTATCTACCCTCTATTGTACTGATACCTTAATATTACTTCGTTCTGCAGCAAACTTCAGTTTTTGTTGCACTGATCATATAAATTCTGTATTTTGTATAATTCATATGTTTTGAATTACTGACTGATTGCTCACTATACCCTAAGAGGCGACAAGTTGCTAATATTGCAGCAAGTTTGCCTCGTTGTAAGTGTTTTCGAGGCACAAGAAAATGTGAAATAACGTCTACTTTGTGTGTTACCATTTTTATTGAAATATCAACTGTGGATAAAAGTTTTCCCTTGGAATATTTTGCACGAGACTTTTGGGAATAGGGACTGAAAGTTCAATGGAGAGACTGGGAAACGAGGTCCGAGGAATCAAGTTGACATTTTTTCAACTTTATGCAAATGTATTATGACACAGTGAAGGAACAGTATAAACTATGGGCTCTGGACCAGTCGTACACATGGGGTTCCAAGGCCCCAGTCTCTACTCTTTAAAATTTTTGTTCCTACTGACATTTCATTTCATTTCATCATGAGTGTAAAATTTGCCTACTTGCTGCAAATTTTAATGCATAATTTCTGTTTCTGTTTGCTGAGTTTAACATATTCGGGGTGTGTTTGTTTAGAGGATTTGTAGAGGATGTGGACTTTTTTGAATACAACTGTATGTAATACATATGTTTTACATTTTCTTGTCAGACATAAAGAGCAGCACACCCACAAAAGACAAACTTGGGGCGACATTAGCGCCTTGCTGCCTCTTAATGTGAACATAGAGGCAGACTTCTAAGAAAATCCTAGTAAAGACTAGTTAAGAGTAGTTTCTAGCTTGCTGCATTTTTCAGGGGCCTATGTTTTTATCTTTTATTTCATTGCCTGTAATAAGAATTGCGTGATATATTTTTTTTTTGTTTTTTTAAACCTAGGTGTTAAGTTGACCCTCTCTGCTCTCCTGGATGGGAAGAACATTAATGCTGGTGGACACAAGCTGGGTCTAGGGCTGGAGTTTGAAGCATAGAAAAGTGAGGAATGCAGCAATCCCCAACCTCAAAAAAAGAAAAAAATATGAATAGATACCCTTACACACCTTGTGTTTCTTTTAATATCTGCGCCGATTGAGAAGAGCTTCTGCATTTTCAAATCACTCACAGTTGAACCGCCACGTTTAAAGGACTTCTTAAGGTAAATTAATGGAATTCAGTGGCTCACTTTTTCAAAAAAGGGACAAGTACTGTGCTGGGATGGTCTCACAAAAGATAAATAGCAGTTGTAACAGATTGTAACGATTTGTAATATTCCACTAGACACATCTGATCAAATTAATTTATTTATTACAGTGCAGAGGAAGGAAATGAATATTTTTTAGAAAAATACTAAAGATGGTGAGTGGTCAGAACAGTTGTCCAAAAAACTCTGGACATTAAAGTCTAGAGTTAGACTAGTCATAGTGATACTACAGAGAGTCATGAGTACTAGAGAACATTCCTTTGCTACTTGGAGGTTATTTCTGTAGAAAGGGACTTATTTTATGGAAACTAATCTCATTGAAAGAAGAAAAAAGGTATGTGATTCCACACTGTGGCTGGTGTAGTTACCCTTCACCTCTGCAGCAGCTCCACACCAAACCTGAAAACATTGTGTTTTTTGTTTCATGTGTCTTTGTGTGTGAAAACTGGACATGATTTTTTGTTTTGTTACATATAGCAAAATATTGTTTTACCAGTGTTCTTCTATGCTGTCTGTAAGGTTTACATCAAAACTCGTCAAGTGTCCCTGAAATTAAAGGATGGATAATTCATCCTATTCACTGGCCAACCTTCTTAAGCAAATGTTTTGGGAGAAAAAAAAACACTGTACATTTTAATAGGGGATGTAGTCTTCCGATTTTGCAGTAGGTTCAGAACACTATGTACTTGGCAGTATTGTAACTCCTTAAAGGTCAATAAAAAGTGATTTAAATAGGGACTCTGTTTCTTTACTGTCATTCACTGTTTGTCATTAAAAAAGAGAGTAAGAATATTTTTCTGTTTTTCTTTGTTCTGTCCAAATACTCCAGTAAGCATTTCAATTCAGTAAAAAGTTACTGCAGAAGTGGGGTAACTTGGGAGAAGATGCCCTCCTATTGCAAGGTCATGCTGGCTACTACCCCCTGGCTATTTTCTCACCTGATCAAATAATTGGGCCAAATCTAATCTCCATGCATTTACTGAATGCCTATGATCTCATTAATTCTGAAACTTTATCTGAATGACTGCATTCCTGGAATTTATTCCAAACATATAGACATGCTGCTACCAATAACCTTAAACCACTAGATTCAGTCTATCACTCTGCTCTAAGATTCATTACTGGAGACCCTGACAACACTCATCACTGCACACTGTATTAAATATTACATTGTAGATGAGGGTCACCTTCAATGTACTTCTGAGTAGAAATAAAGGTTGATATTAAAATGAAGTGGAATCATTAACATGAATTTTTCGTGTCAGCAGGGTTATGCCTCATTCTGTACATGCACATGTTTGATTTAGCTTAACAGTAAAAGGACGTTAAGAGGAGGTATTTCACCCTATATTTAAATAGCTCTCTCGTTACACAAGTTGATACTATGTTGTACACGTACTCTGTTCCTGCGGATCAGCCCTCGGGCAGGTGGAGAGTTGTGTGGAAATTGAACACGCCCCTCTCACCAGGACAACACCGGCTCTGACAACACCTCTATTCAGTTCATCCAAGATGGCGGCGGTGACGAAGATGGAGCGAAAATGGTCATCAGCAGCTTGTTTTATAGCAACTTTGGCCATTCTGCAACTCTTGCCTGTTGGATATACTCAGGCACCTAGCGGTAGGTTGTGTGTGTCGTGTTTTACCTCGCTTGATAATTTGAAAATAGGGTATATATTAGGTTTTTATGTTTTTAACTTCAGCTGGCTATGTAGCTAGCCTAGCTACCTCCGATAGCTAGCTAACAATGTGATTAGATTGCTAGCTAGCTACACAACTATCTTGGAAATATGAGCGTTTGAATTTCATTAAGTGATTAGCAGGCTAATGTAGCTATATCTCTTACTATGTAACAGATGCTCCTTAGTTTAAGGTTACACAAAGCTGTATGGCGTATTAGGAGTTCATGAACTATTAGCTAACTAGCGTTAGCTGTGTAGTTAATGTTCTTAGCTAGCGTTAGCTAGCTAACTTAGTTGAAAGTATTTGCCTACTGCTGAATTTGGCTAGCTAGCTAACTGAAACAGAAGTTGTTGATATTAGCAAAACGACTGAATTATTTTAAGAGTAAACGGTGAATGCCTGGCATTGGAGGCTACATAAAACACCGCCAAATGACAGGTATGCGTTTTTCTTGAATTCATGTTCGTTGAATTTACTAACTAGCTAGCGTTACCTAGTTCTTGCTGGACTCTCCTTATTCACTGGTCTGATTTGAGTCACAGAGAACCAGATACGCGCTTTCCCCTCCGAAACGAGCTGCTCTGCGTGTAATAGGTAAATGCCAGGTGAAAGATCTACGGTTATGTCTGTTTATAAACGACAGCCGTTGTTATTTAGTGCTGGCGACAGCCTGTTTTTCTGGCTTTTCTGGCTTAGCTGTTTCTAAGGACATGTAGCTAACTACCTCGCGTTTGATTGGAATTTTCCATAATAACACAATATTGCTTCTGTTTTATATGTGCAGAATAAAATTGTACAGAGGACATGCGTAAGTCATAACCTTACTCCTTCATAGCCTTCTATTTCTTAATTATTTCTTTGTTGCGCTGAGGTCTGTGTGCTTCACAACACTGGTAGAGATGGCACATCTGTAACGTTTCGCATTGGTGTTGGACTGATACCAGTCGAAAATATTGGATTGGATATTGATTAAAAAAGGCTGAATCCTATCCAGTCCTGTAAAAAATCTAGCTTGAAATACCCCACACTCACGTAGTGTGGCGTCATGTTTTTAGCTGTGTATTTTTTCCTGTGGGGTAGTAGAAGGTTTGAGTAGTTTGAGCATGCCAATTTTATATCATCATCTTAATTGAAATACTAAAATATTCTGAAGGGTAGTAGCTTTAAAAAAAACCCCAAAAAAACATTGGATTGGTGTAGTGTGATTTTCAAGGATTTCATGTCAAGGTTTTAATATCACTATTATAAAAGAGTAAGTGATCTTGTGCTCTCTCTAGTAACTGGGGTGTCCAAGTTTTGTGATGCATTGAAACGTGTTTATACCTGTAGGAGTACCAGTTCCCATATTTGAAGGTATATCACATGTGCCCTAAAGGTATATGATGTACAAAGCAGTCCTGTATTCTGTGTTTGTGTTGACACAGTATCATGAAGCATAATGAATGGCTCTATTGATCCTGTGAGCAGCACTCTTAATTCGTAGTGCTGAATTCCTCACCCTTATACACTAGTCAAAGACTACTTGGCGGACACATAAGGACCTCAGGAACGTAATCATGTTGCCCAGGGCTGAATATATGTTGGTGTTGGCCCAAAGCATGAAATGTTTTATAATGTATTTCTTTTTCTTAACTTCAGTGAAGATTGAGGTTTGACTACCAATAGCTTTTTTATGGTATTTTGTAGGATGGGTATGGAATTGAGTGTATTCACAGATCTCCAGTTTATTAATGCTAATTATACTGCATCTTGTTGTAGGTGGAATTCTTCTGACATCAGAAGGAGCAAACGCCACAGACCCTATCACTGACAACACCCTTATAAGCCCTTCAGCGCCTGGCAAGAATAATTCATCACACCAGAAATCAGCAAAAGATGAAGCAAATCCCACTGTGGCTAATACTCTTAGCAGTGGCATCACCACTGCAGAAACCACCACTACAGCCCCACCTACAACACCCGCCCCTTCCAAACCAACCACTGTTCCTGTTATTGGTTCAGAAGACACAAAGCCTACTGAGCTGAAACCATATGAGGAGACACAAAGTCCTCAGAAGCCCACTAGCACTCCTGAGGCCAAGCCAGACAGCCCCTTTGAATCAGAAAAAACATTGGATTTTGAGTCCACTACGTCTCCTGTTGAGGTGGGCACAGACAGCTATGATGATGATGATGATGACGACGATGACAATGAATACTTGCCTGCAGATAACACCCAGCATGAGGAAACCCAAATACTCAACCACAACCTGGAGGAGGAGGAGGACGAGGAGGATGACCATATGCAGGTTATTGATGAAGGCTCTGTTAAGTCAGGGAAGATAAATGTACACATGAAGGACACCACCATCTATAACACCCAGGATGAAGACTCTCACTTCTTTTTCCACCTGGTTATCATCGCTTTTCTGGTGGCCATAGTCTACATCACTTACCACAATAAGAGAAAGGTATGTTACTATTTTCAAAGCCTATGATCTGGCCAATATCGAGCTGTTATATTATAGCCTTCTCTAAGTGTAATCTATCAGCTTCTTCCACTGGAGCTGCAAGTCAAATGTGGTTAGTAATACTAGTTGCTTTCGACATTGTATGGCACACTGTTATCACTGACCTTTTATTCCTTGTAGTTAATCATTTACGCTGTTCTACAACAAGTGTTAACAATGAGTGTTATCTTGTTATTAGACAGAGCATCCTCTGCATTTACACTCTTTATCTGTTGCTGCTTGGCAGGATGTAGCTATAAAGTTCAACACAATGATACAGATCTTGTTAAGGTGTTGTGCTGTGTAGGCCTGTCTAATTTTTGTACCAGGGGACTTTTATCCAGTCCTCTGGGACCCCCAGCCATTTTACGTTTTTGTTGTATTCCGTTTCCTAACACACCTGAGGTAGGAATTCTGCAGTTGGAATATAGTTCTTAAGGTGTGTTTGGGACTGGCAGAAAATGAAAGTAATACACTGAGAACCCTTGGTTTACACAAGGAAATAGATACCAATTTTGATGTTTTAATCCCCTTAGTTTTAAACAAAAACTCCCTGCTTTTAATATTTTTATACCGAATGTAGAAATGCCTAAAATGTCCAATCAACCAGCTGTTTCAGCTGTTCAGCCCTATCCAGCATATGTCAACCACACTTAATTAGTGTATAAACCAATGATGTAATAATTTACCAATAATGTAATTATTCTTTACAGTCTCATCAGTATATTTCACATCACAAATACATGAATAGCAGTTTGATACAAAAATAAATAAATAATAAAATTTAATGTTTTTAAAACAGTAAAATGTTTCACTCTGAAACATTCTTTTTCTGTTTCAGTATATTTCAGAATATTTGATAGGTACTCCCTTGGTCCCTTTACATTAAAGGATCTGGTAGCCTGTGTTCCTATATGAATATACTTACAAGAATGTGCCATATGGGGATACATTACACAGCATGTATTTTTTTTTTATATGTGAGGTACATTTCAAATTTGTCTAAGATGTATTCCACAGTAAAGTACTTAAAACAAAAAAACTTTTTTGCCCATTTTCAAATGTATTTGATAAATACCCCTTACATATATTTATTTTCCAAAATTGATGTGTGTGACACAAAACGTGTTTTCAAATAAAGTTTTTGTGACACAAAACAATATGTAATATGTAAAAATTACTTGAAGTCGCTGTTTCAACCAGCTCAAGTTAGTTTAATTCAGTTTGGGTCCAAGTTGTATAGAAATTGTCTTTGCATTAAAATATCAATTTAACGTTAGTACAAATTTCAGTCAGTTAACATTATAAGGCTTACACATCAGCACATTCTTTTGTTGTGATTATGAAGTGATGAACTTATCAAATTGATGAATTGTCACACCCCTACTGTTAATGTATGACAAACACTTACAAAACACCTGCAAACTCCTGAGTTGGTACAAGCAACCTGTATGTGGATGCAGTAATGTGAAAACCCTGTAAGCTGCCCTGCATTATATGGGCATTTCATGATTGACCAATAGAAAGGGCCCATAATTACTTGAAATAAAACTGTTAAATCAGTTTTTCAATTAAAAATAAGAACATTTTTCCCTTCTCCTACAGAGATACTATTCGGAGGCACAAGGATTTGTTTAGGAATGTACTGATACCACTTTCTTTCCCTTCCGATACGGATACCTGATTCTTAAATATCGGCCAACACAGAGTACCGATACTAACGTTGTCTAACCTAACTAGCTTCTAAACTCTGATATTTCTACAAATACACTTTTTACATATTTTGGTAAAAGCAGTGTTCTACACACACATATATATATATATATATATATATATATATATATATATATATATGTGTATATATGTGTGTGTGTGTGTGTGTGTGTGTGTGTGTGTGTGTAATGACCAGTGGACGCAACCACTGGTGGCTAGCTAGGCTAGTTGGCTGCTATGGTAAAGACCTCATTACCCCAAGATCCCTATGTCTCTCTAATATTCTCTCCCTCTACCTGGACTAACATTAACTCAAACTGAAAATGAATGCCATTGAAATTATTACCTTAAAGAATTGCAGCTGTTATATTACCCACTACTATTGCCTTATCATGAAATACTGATGGCACCGATTTTGCTATAAGCACTTTTACTGCTGCTTGAACTATGCCTTTTTTGTCATATCCCAAAATTATGTATCCCTTACTGTTCAGGATTTAAGATGAAATTCCATGTGCCAAGGTGTTGTATTTACATGATTCCATGTGAGTTTTGTGTTTTACCATGCCTGCATAAGTTGCCTGTCAGTCAGTGTTAACTGCTTCCGTTGTCTGTGTAGATCATGCTCCTGGCTCAGAGTCGGCGCTGGAGGGAAGGCCTTTGCTCCCGCAGTGTGGAATACCATCGGCTTGACCAGAATGTTCATGAGGCAATGCCCTCACTAAAGATGACCAATGATTACATCTTTTAAACAACTGCACAGCATACGAAGATGGGCCAGCAGAGTTTAAGAATGATAAATGCAACCTGCTGATTTTGCACACACTGTATTGCTTATTTAATGAGGAGAACACTTCTGTGTTTCGTGATTAACCAAGAAGGATTTGGGCTGCAGTAACTTTCCTTATCCTGTCAGAGCAGTCTTTAACAGTTGGAATTATGGGTTTTTGCGGGTTGATTATTTTAAGGATGAAAGATCCGAAACAATTTTGGGACCTTTTGGCTTTTTGGGTAAGTGGGTGTGGTGAATGTAGTTGCCAGTTAGGTTGTGCCCATGTAAATATTTGATTATTCTGCTGAATATAAAATCTGGCTGATGTCACACTTGACAACTCTAGAGTGATCTTTTCAGTTCTCTTATATGAAAAACACCTAGGAGACAAGTTATATAATCATAGAACTAAGATTCTCTTGTATATCATGATTCTAGCAATTCATTCAAGTGCTCTTAGTTTATAAAGATTATCTTGAAAATAATCTGACAGATTTGTTTCCCCTACTTAACATGGCCTGCACACGCATAGAAGTATTGTGGCTTAAATGTTTTTGTTGGTTATTATTGACTATCAGTATCTTTATATAATATGCCTGTTTTGTTCTACAAAAATCACCATGTTTTGTTGCTACAATATTGAAAGAAACAGAGGAAGAGTCTCATGCTTTGCTATGCAGTCTTGGGGCTGGTCCCTTTTGTTATTTTGTTATGGCTTCAATGAAGTCCCTTGCATTATACAGTACTGATGATCATCCTTCATGCTCAGTGAAAGGCAAATTCAGGTATGTTGTGTTATGTCACATTAAAGTCTCTGCTTATGAGTGTGGCCAAATATGTCTGGTGAAATATTCATAACATGCAAATATGTGCATATCACTATGATCGTCTAAATCGCAAGTATAGCACAGGCTCTTAATTGGTAGGACAGTGACATAATTTGTGTTTTGTTGCTATCTGGCTTCAGCAAAATGGATTTGAAATGAAACAATGACTTTTACATTGAAGTGCATAAATATGTTTAAATTTGGTATCCTATTAGTAGAACCTTACAGGAATCTGTAAGAATTTGGGGCCAAAAATATTTGGACAGTTGGCTGCTCAGAACTTTGGGCACCTGCATGTTGTGCATAATCGTTTCATGTACAAGGAAGTCTTTCAGCATGAGGACTGAACAAGTGCAAACTCCAGTGAAGCAAAAGAAAAAAAATCAGAATAAATCAGAATATTACAATCCAAAACATTAGCGGAGACAGTTTCCCAGACCCAGGTCAAGACTAAACCTGGTGATTGACACTGCACTTTAACTGCTGAGCAGGACCAGGATGTAGGCACAGACGTGTAAAAGAAGTGTTTACACCGTTTGCTGAAGAATAGAATGACCATATTTATACTTTGCTGAAAAGTATATAAATGACCTACAGAGTTCCTAATGGATGAGAAGAAAATTAGCCCACTAGAATGTTGAAAAGTGTGGAGAAATAGGAAATGTTCATGGTCAAAGCATACTGCCTCATATGTGAGGCACTACTAAAGCCACTGAAGTTTTTATGGCGAAGACGTTGAGTGTTCTTGACTGTCGAGCCAGCAGACCTGAGCGTGACTCGGCTTGCAGTTACTAGGCTGAAAATTGCTGCATTGCAGGCATAGACAAGGAAATCTACATTGTATCTGGTGGTGTCTGCGGGTCACTGTAAATTATTTGCAAGTACCCTCAAAGCTAACAGTCTGCACTTTAGGATTCATTGTTTTCAATCCAATGTGATGGAGTACAGAGCCAAACAATGATCACTGTCCGGTCACTTACCGCACCGCATAGCACAACGTACATGGGCCTTATTCTTGTGTATATAAAAGAACTATCTGTCCTGTCTAACAGAACATGATTTGTTTATCCATGTTTTTCATTTTCTTACATGATATGCAATTGTAGATAAAACGTTGCTGTTGGCTCAGTAGTTACAGAATCATTTATTTGCACTGTACACAGGCCAGAGAATGCATTACCTTCACGCATGTAACAGTGTAAAAGTTATAGTCATTGGCTGGGGCTGTAGAAATTCTCCTAATCTTTGTCAATAAAACACAAGTGTAAATGGGTGTATTAATTGCCTCTTGTTTTTGTCATTGACAGTTCATTAAATGAATAATTTACCTATGTTTTTTTTTGCTTCAGTTTGTCAGTTGAAACAGGTTGATAGACCATTTTGTTTATTCTCAAGCAGTTAGGACAGAGATTGGTAATAAAATGATAAACTTGAATTTAACCTTCCATTCTTCATATTCTACTGAAATAGAATAATGCCACCGTTTTAGGTGAGCATAATGACTAGAACTGTTAGCTTCCAGTCATTACAGATTTCTGTTGCAATGAGATTGTGCATGCAACCAACTTGTATGTGCGTAGTGTTTATATTTGTAGTCTGATCTTTCTGTCTCTGCGAAAGCCACCAAGGGATTGTTAAAGAATAGAATTCAACTGCAGCAGAGGAAACTTGGCATGGCAAAAACAATCAATTCTAGTGTTTTGAAAAAGAAAGAATCTGCTGGTGTATTTAATCAGAATCAGAAAAAGTATTTAAAAAAAGTAGTAATAGTGCAAAAGTTTGGACACCTTTCCACCCTTTAAGTCTCAAAACTTAACTTGTTAGGCTTTGCTTGTTAGGACTGGTTATTAAAAGGAATCTAGGTAAGCCAGAGGCATTTTGGAAAGTACTTTGGACTGATGAAGTAAAAATGAAATGAAACAATCTGACTACAACTCACCAAAGGTATGTTCAGCATTTAATGAAAACAATACCTTGTCAACTGTTCAGCATAGAGGTGAATCTACTATGCTTTGGGGTTGTGCGGCAGCCAGTACCACAGAAAACATTGTACAGGTAGATGGAAGAATGGATTTCACTAAAGAAACTTCAAGAAACTGAAGCTGAGAAGAGGCTTGCTTCTGCAATAGGACAATGATCCAAAACAAAATAAAGATAGAGCTCTCTAAAACAGAGGAAAGTGAATAGCTGACAAATTTGTGAACCACAGAGCAAACCAGACTTCTGCCTATTGACTGTTTTTGTATGATGTGTAGGGACAGCCCCAGTGGGAAAGCACTGGCAAACATGTAAGGATGTCTAATTTACTAGCTACTAAGAAAACTGTTGAAGACTATTCAAGATAACAGACCAGAGTCAGGAGCCTGGCCGTTTTCTGTTCTAAAAACATGACTGCAAAATGCTAGAGGGACACTGCGAATGGAGTGAATGGAGATGGCTAAAAATGTTAATTGAATATTTTTTTCTAGTCTTTCATGCAGGCTTTCATCCTTTAATTCTATGAGATAGAATAAACTACATAAAATAATCACTGAAATTTGCCAGTATTTCTTACTGTAAGGGCTATAGGATGCTAGTATTACAGCTACTGAACATTGGTTGGTTATCAAACCGCTCAGCTCATTTGCTGAGTAAAGTGGTTCACACTCATTGGTGTCATGAGTGTACGTGAGACACTGTTAGAAAGCCCCATAACTGCAGTTGGAAAGTGTTCATAAATATGACAGCAGTGTTGAAATATTTTATGCTGTTCTGTGTTGAGAAAACGAGTGCATTTTTCTGTATAAACGATAACCATTTACAAATTACAGTTTTGCATAAAAGCTTCATAGAAACACATTCAATTTGGACTCTCTCAGGTGCACCCTCTAGTATCTCACCAACCTGGAAGACATTACTGAGTGGCAGTTCTCCTTGTTGCAAATACGTTGATATTAGACAGTCCATACTGTGGGCAGAGCATCTAAAGCTGAGACTGGACCATTGTTCTTGCAGTAGAAACGATTTATTTAAAAACTAAATCAAATTTACAAAGTTTAAACTGGCCATCTGTGTGAGGCACTGGACAGGAGATGGTGTAATTCTAGAACAACAGTGCTATGACCTGATCCTGTTAATGGAAGCTGCTGACCACAGAATTTTAGCTTGGTATTTTACAAAGTAAAGTTAACAGACGTTAAACAAACAAGCAATGAATCAAATATTAAAACACAGAACAATATTGGCAGAAGTGTGGATGTTATTTAGTGTTCTCATGGACCAAAAGTTCTTCAGACCGAACCCCTAGTGAACGTACACAAGAACACACACACTTTATCAGACACACCTCCTAATGCATGCATACGCTCATTCACATCACACACACACATAACAATGAGTTTGCTCTGTCAAATTATGTCTATTCAGTATGAAGAAATCATGAAGCCGATACTGAACTATATATGTATATATGCTTTCTCTCAATGATTATTATGAATGATTATTATGAATGAATGAAATTATATATGAATGATTATTATTATTATTATTAGTAGTAGTAGTAGTAGTAGTAGTAGTAGTATTAATCATCATCATCATCATCATCATTCCAAACAAGCAAGTTCAATAAGTTAAGTTGATATTTTTTACACGTTAAGCTGCTCATTGGCTTGGCTTCTAACCTTACCTTTAGCAGTCTGAATCTATTGGAAGAGCTATTAGCACTCAAGTAGTTTTTTTGTGTATCACTGAAAGATGAAGCTGACATGAACCCCTAGCAGGCTAAGCTAAAGAGTTTACTGAAGTATCCCTCACAGAAGAATTTCTGCTCCATTTAGCTACAGGACGAAGATTAGATCTGACAATTATTCAGCTTTAAACCAGGTTATTAATCACCGTCTGTCTCAAAGGCCGTTAGAGACGTAAAGCAGCTAAGAATGCTTCTGTGATGTATTATTATAACAGTGTTGTAGGGTTTGGGTAAGATTCTAGGTTTAGGCTAGAGTTAGGCTTACTTAGCAATAAAATGTATGAGAAAGTTTAGTAAAACTTACATTTGACTTTTACTTGTTTTACCTCAGTCATTCTATATGGCACCCAGAATACATATGCAGGGTGTGTTAAATGAAAGTATATATTACATATCTTGTTGGTTTTCTGAGTGAAAATAAGTTAACCCATCCTCAGGGCACAAACTTAAACATGGCATTTTTCTGCAAAATTCAGCTGAATCTGAAGTAATTTCTAGGTCAGAAGTGCTTGATGGAGTATCATTAAAGAATGGAACAAAAAACCATACTGCCTAAATGCTTAGTCAAACCGTCTGATCTGCAATAAAACACACAGCTTAAGCTTAACATGCTCTGCAACATGCCTGCTGTGCTGAAATGTATAAGCATGTGCTTATATATTTCTATAGATGCGGGTGGTGGAACAGTGTTCAGTGCTTTTGATTTCACAGAATTTTAATAGAAATGAAAAACGGGAGAATGGGCTGGGGCTGCATGCGAATTCTTAACTTTTGAGAAGGCACTATTTCTTCTCACAAGTCATGCTAACAAACTTTCTAAGATTCTGGTGTACTGCCCAGACCAAGTTTTATATTTATACTTGATTTCGGCAGTTATCCAGCATGCTTCACCCTGAAAAAGATTCATGTTGCAGTGCATGTTTATACCCACTTGGTGGCTCTAGAGTCTCAGGAGCCAAGAAGATATTTCAAAGGTATGCAGGTGTTTTGCAAATCAACACTGTCCAAAAGCTCTCAAGCCCCAAAGAAAATACAAAATGTGGCTAGAAGTCAGATGTTTTCACAAACACACATAACATACAAAGTCTTTGATTTTTCTGATCCTTTGGTGAGCTTATACCTCAAATGACCTTGTCTTGAGGAAGAAAATGCAACAGCAGTGGGCTGGGTTTATTTTAACATCTGTTTGACATCCTTCTCAAACCGAATTTGAACCCAGCGTGGGCTTTGTTGATAACTGGACTACGTTTGAAGACAAGCTTGGTTTATCCCTCACAGAAGTATGTGTTTACACAAGTTCTGCTCCATTTAGATTGTGTCTGTTGCTCAAATAAAACAAAAAAAAAAAAACATGAAGCCTCAGAAAGACCAACTGTTTTGCTGCTAAAACTGTTAAACAGAATGAAGATTAGATGTGACAAGTATTCAGCTTTAAACCATGTTATTAATCTACACAACTCCTGTCTCAAAAGTAATGGGAGAGGTACAGCATCTAAGAATACTGTGGCGATGTGTTGTTACAAGTACTACAAGTGTTGTAGCACTGGGGTAGGGTTCTGGGTTTAGGCTAGGGTCAGGCTAACTTCTGACTTTTACCTCTTTTATCTTAGCCATTCAATATGCAGTGTGTGTTAAATAAAGGTATTGTCAGACATATACAGTTAAATGCTAAAGCTTGAATGCCCCCTGTCCAATTATATTTGTTGATTTTCTAAGTGAAAATAAGTTAACACACCCTCTACAGGGAACAAATATAGCATTTTTCTGCAAAATTCAGTGCACAATTTCTATTTTTTCATTTTGCTGAGTTTAACATATTGGAAAAAATAAAACATAAAATACAAATTGTGCCATTACTTTTTCACAGGCCAAATTTTATGTTTCATATGTCATATGTTTTCCCATTATGTTCCCATTAAATTCAGCAAATAAACTGTGCACTAAAATGTGCAGAAGTGTATGAACAAATTATGTCATTTGACCAGGTGCACCAAATTTTGAATACAACTGGATGCAAATGGAGAAATCTTGCATACTATCATGTAGCATGTAAAAAAAGACCAGGAGCATTAGAATTTTAGAATTATGCATAAAAATAAAATAATACATGCAATCAATTTGTTAACCATTTCCAAACCTTGAGGCAGCCCAGTGTGATCTAGTAAAGGAACACAAAATGTTTATTTTTATTAAAATCTATTCCTAATAATTCCTACATTAGCATTCTATTCATATTCCTGTTAAAATGGTAATCTAAATACTTAAACATTTTTCAGTCATTCCAGTTTTATTTTATTCCCTGCAGTTTTGTCTTTTACAATTTCTTGTATGCATGCTTAAACTTTTGAGCCAATTAGAAAGCCATTTTAGATCCAGGCAATCAATAGTCATGATCAATTTTCACAATAGGCAAACCACTCTGAAAATTTTTATTGAATATACAAAGAAATAAGACTATGAAGAGATTGGAACACTGGCAAGTTAACTTTCATAAATAATGACAAATATAATGCTATAGATATTTGTCATTATTTATGTGACAAATA